TTTTTTTTTTTTTTTTTGAGTTGGAGTCTCACTCGGTCACCCAGACTGGAGTGCAGTGGCTGCTCCCGGCCACCGCAGCCTCGCCTGCTGGGCTCTGGCGATCCGTCCGCCTCAGCGTTCCGAGTAGCTGGAATTACAGGCATGTGCTACCACGCCCGGCTGATTTTTTGATTTATTGTAGAGATGAGGTCTCGCTGCCCCAGGTGGGTCTCGAACCCGCGGGCTCAGGCAATTCACTCACCTCAGCCTCCCAAAGGCGTGGGATTACAGGCTGAGCCACCGAGCCCGGCTTTTAATCAGGAGAGAAAACATGTGCTATACACACAGTTCGCAGAATTCTAACAGAATTTGGCAGTAACAGTTTTCTTTGGAAAGAAAAAGATACAGAAAAAACAATAGAAAATGGGTTATCTGAAATCTTTACAATGTTTTTTTTATTTTTTTTGAGTCAGAGTCTCACTCTGTTGCGCAGACTGGAGTGCAGTAGCATGCTCCTGGTCACCACAGCCTCAACCTGCTGGGCTCCAGTGATCCTTCCGCCTCAGCCTTCCAAGTAGCTGGAAGTGTAGGCGTGCACTACCGTGCCCAGTTAATTTTTGATTTATTGTAGAGACAAGGTCTCACCAAGTTGCCCGGATGGTTCTTGAACCTGCGGGCTCAGGCAGTCCACTCGCCTCAGTCTCCCAAAGTGCTGGGATTACAAGCTGAGCCACCGCACCCAGCCTGATTTTTTAATTTATTGTAGAAACAAGGTCTCGCCATGTAGCCCAGGTTGGACTTGAACTCCTGGGCTCAGGCAATACTCTCACGTCTGAATCTCAAAGTGCTGGGATTACAGGCATGAGCCACTAAGCCCAGGCTTTTACAACGTTATAATCATTGAAAACTCTAAGTTAGCATGGTGGTGACAGCTATTCATAGGAGCAACATTTTAGGCCTTAAAAAAATAAGTCAAGTGAACTAAACTTTGACTTCATGTGACATTTAAAATGTTTTCTTTTATAAGAAACAGAATTGGGATGGGCGCATTGGCTCAAGCCTATAATTCCACCAATTTGGGAGGCTGAGGTGAGAGGATTGCCTGAGCCCAAGGGTTTGAGACAGCCTGGCAACTTGGTGAGACCTCATCTCTACAATTAATCAAAAAATTAGATTAACAGTAGTAAATATCTGTCTGGGGATGGAAAAACACCTCTTATCAACAAGGTGCCTGAATGAAACGTAATTGTTCGCCTAACCCTTAACTGTACCCCACAAAACCATAATAAAAAATATTGATTAAATTTAAAAAAAAATTAGCTGGGGATGGTGGCACATGCCTGTAGTTCTAGTAACTTGGAAGACTGAGGCAGAAGGATCATCTGAGCCCAGCAGGTCGAGGCTGAGGTGGCTGGAAGTGTGCCATTGCACTCCAGCCTGGGTGACAGAGAGAGACTCCAACTCAAAAAGACAAAAAAAAAAGAAACAGAATTAAGTGAAAAGGTATTTAGCCTGCTTATCCCTGATATGTACGTAGGCTTATAGATATTAAAAGTCACTTGTCGATAGACGTAGTGGTTCATGCTGGCAATCCCAGCACTTTGGTAGTTAGAAGTAAGGACTGCCTGAGCCCATGGGTTCGAGACCAGCAACATAGTGAGACTGTGTTGGTACAAAAAATCCAAAAATTAGCTGGGTGTGGTGGTGCGCACTAGTAGGTACAGCTACTTGGAAGACTGAAGCAGAAGGACTGCCTGAGTCCAACAGGTCAAGGATGTGGTGGCTGGGAGCATGCCACTGCACTCCAGTCTGGGCGACAGAGTGAGACTTCGACTCAAAAAAAATCCCCCCAAAAAACAGCTGGGTGCAGTGGCTCACGTCTGTAATCCCAGCACTTTCAGAAGCAGAGATGAGAGGACTGCCTAAGCCCATGAGTTCGAGACCAGCCTGAGCAACATGGCGAGACCTCATCTCTACAATAAATCAAAAAATTAGCTGGGCTTGGAGGTGGTGCATGCCTATAGTTCCAGTTACTCAGGAGACAGAGGTAAAAAGATTGCCTGAGCCTAGCAGTTCGAGGCTGTGGGTGTACCTGCCTGGGTGACAGAGTGAGATTCCAACTCAAAAAAAAAAGTCACTTCTCTATTACTAATTTGAAATTGAACAAAAATAACTATTTTTTTACTTGCAGCATGCACTAAAAGTTTCTTCCTTCAAAGTCCAAGCATATATAACTAATCACATTCAAAAATTCATTTAACCAAATTTTACATGTATATGTGTGTGTGTGTGTGTGTATAATTTTTTTTTTTTTGAGTTGGAGTCTCACTGTTTCACTCTGGCTGGAGTGCAGTGGCATGCTCACGACCACCACAGCCTCAACCTGCTGCGCTCAGGTGATCTTTCCACCTCAGACTTCCAAGTAGCCAGACCTATAGATATGTGTCACCATGCCCAGCAAATTTTTTGGTTCATTGTAGATACAAGATCTCACCATGTTGCCCAAGCTCATCTTGAACCCGTGGGCTCAGGCAATGCTTTTGTCTCTGCCCGCCAAAGTACTGAGATTACAGGCAATGAGCCACTGCACCCAGCTTAATCAAATTATATTACTGAGAAAATGAAGACAGCAAAGCACTATAAGAATAAAAAACATTCCTCCCTGTACCTCTCCTGTATTTGGATTGGAGCAGAGAATCTTAGCGTCTTTTCCACAGCTTAGCAACAATTCAGGATCTGCCATGCTCCAAGCAATTGCTAAAATTCCCCTATAAAAACACAAAGAAATGAGGAAACTTAATCTTGAGAAAAGCAAATCTCAAATTATTGATCCCTAGGCTTTGGAGACTCACATACTGTTAAGAAAAGTATAATCAAATGCAATATGTTAGGAGGCAATTTAGTAATGTGTATGCTCCTTGATCACTCAAAGGCATAGATGTTCACTATAGAGTAGTGCATGATACCAAAAAAACAAAAGCAAAAGCTCAAAAACATGGATTTATTTAATAATAAATTACACACCACATTTTAATGAGAAAATATGTAAAGAAAAATGTTGCAGAATTTTCCCCACTATTATACAGTATATACAATTAATGAAAAAGTTATCTAACTAAAGGTATAAATTATCTATTTGTATAAAAACCATATAGAGACTGTATATATACATATATTATATATATATAAATTAGATGTAGTCAATAAAATGTTTTACCTATGGAAAGGCACGAAATCTAACTGCAGTAAATCTTCACTTATCATAAGTAGGTTCTTGGAAATTGCCACTTTAAGCAAAACGACATACAACAAAACCACTTTTACCATAGGCTAATTGATATAAACAATAGCTAAATTTCTACTGTATATTTCTGGTCACAAAAATGTTGTGAAACTTCTAAATAATGACCCAAATCACTACTAATATTAAATGCTGAAATTAAATGTGAGCTATATATACATTTCAGAAAGATGAGTATAAGAGAATTATTTACCCAATTTTTGGCAAATCAGTGAATGACAGTGGTTGCAGTGGTGATGGGTTAAGTGAAGAAATAAATGTTTGCAAAGCAAAAATTCTCAGGATCACCTCAACCACTGTGCAGTTGAAAAACAACCAACCATGCTGGATGCTGTGGCTCACATGTGTAATCCCAGCACGTTGGGAGGCTGAGGCAGGAGGACTGCTTGAGCCCAGTAGTTTGAGATCAGTCTGGGCAACAGAGTAAAACCTAGTTTCTACAAAAATAAAAAAATTACCCAGGTGTGGTGGCATTTGTCTGTAGCCCCAGCAACTTGGGAGGGAGGTGGAAGTATGGCCAGGGGCCAGAATGCTGTGGTGAGCCATGATCATGCCATTGCTCTCCAGTCTGGGAGACAGAGAGACTGGATTCAAAAAACAAAAAAGAGCCAACCAACATGACAGGTTCACTAAGCAATTTTGTAACATGTTGTTCATTGTCAGGCATTTGAATGATTATGTTTGTCAAAAATTTTGATTTTACAATAATTTGTATTAAGTCATTCATTCATTTTCCAATCTATTTATTGTTTATTCCAGGACAGGGCTGCTAGTGGCTGAACCTATCCTGGCAGCTAAAGGTGCAAAGTGGGAAGCTATCCCACTTTCCATTCCATCACAGGGCCCATTCACACACACCCAATACTGGGACAATTTAGACATGCCAATTAACACTCTGAATTAATTGCAGATATCAAGATATATCACCCCAAGATTTACCTCGTGGGATAAGAACATTCTCCCATATAATTATAATACAATTTCAGACTGAAAGTATCTATTATTATATAGACAAATGTTATTTTTAATATACTTCCCATATACAAACTTCCTTAATTTTATCAATCAATAACTGCCCCCATTCAAAATCCAATCAAAATCAAAATATCAAGAATTTCAAGGCATATAAAGAATTCCTTTTAAAAAAATTGAATTTTTCTTTTTGTAGAGAAAAGGTCTTGCTGTGTTGCCCAGGATGGTCTAGAACTCCTGGGCTCTAGTAATCCCTCCATGTGGTCTCCTAGTGTGCTAGGATTACTGGCCTGAGTCACTGCACTCCAGCCTAGGTGACAGAGTGAGATCCTAACTGAAAAGACAAAACAAACAAAACTAAATAAATAAATGACAACAAAAACTTAGAAATAAAACAAGCTCTAAAGATAGTGCTTGACATTAAATGCTACAGAAGACTCATGTTCATAAGTATAATGATCCTAAAAAGATCAAATTATGTAACACATTTCAAGGGTTGTCCCAAAATGTTGTGGTATACTAGAATTTTGATCTGTTAATTATTACTTGAAGTAGTGGAAAATCCTTTAACACATTTTTGTTTTGTTTTGGAGTTGGAGTCTCACTCTGTCACCCAGGCTGGAGGACAGTAGCACGCTCCTAGCCACCGCAGTCTCAATCTGTTGGGCTCAGGTCATCTTTCTGCCTCAGCCTTCCAAGTAGCTGGGACTATAGACAAGCGCCACCATCCATGCCCAGCTAATTTCTTGATTTATTGTAGAGATGAGGTCTCATCAAGTTGCCCAGCCTAGTCTCGAACCCATGGTCTCAGGCAATCCTCTCAACTCGGCCTCCCAAAGTGCTGGGATTATAGGCATGAGTCACGGCACCCAACACACTTTTGTTATACTATGATTTGACTACCATTTTTTAGTATAGAAAATCTGATAACCATTGCTTAAAATAAAAACAAACCACTTACACTGCCTTTTATATGATAGAGACAAAATAAGATTCACCAATTTAAAAAACTCTGGTAATTCAAGAAGTAAAGATACTTTAGAAAATAAATGGATCAAGTTCCTGGAACCTCAGCAGGATACCTGGCATGGTTTTCCAGGACACGCAGAGGAGAAGAGGCGAATCGGAGATCCCACATCTGGACCACAGGTAGCCGGTCGTCCTCAGAGGCAAGAACCATCTGAGTAGCAATGTCAGGATGCCAGGCTAACCCAGAGCAATGCATCTGCAGACAGCAAAGGCTCACAAGTTATCAACCAAATTATTTTATGAAAAGCCTAAATAAAATTTGAGAAATATGCCTTTATTGAAACAAACAGTAAAAAACATCAGCTCAGGCTCAGATTATTTTTAAAAACACAATGAAACATAAAATTACTAAATGTTATTAAACAGCCTTAAACAGTAGTCTTAAGAGTAAAATGCCTGAATGTTTTCAATTCATCCAGCTTTTGATACACCCCAAATTGTTCTAGTCCAAAATACTTCTACTCCAAAAATGAGTTGAAACTGTAAGTAGCTGAGTGTGGCATGCACCTGTAGTCTCAGTTACCAGGAGGTTGAAGCAGGAGAATCACCTGAGCCCAGGAGGTCAAGGCTGCGGTGAGCCATAGTCATGCTATTGCACTCCAGCCTGTGTGACAGAGTGAGACTCCGACTCAAAAAAACATAACAGGCCCAGCGCAGTGGCTCAAGCCTATAATCCTGGCACTTTGAAAGGCCTAGGCGAGAGGATTGCCTGAGCCCATGGATTCTAGACCAGCCTGGGCAGCGTGGCGAGACCTCGTCTCTACAATAAATCAAAAAATTAGCTGGGCATGGTAGCACATGCCTGTAGTTCCAGCTACTTAGGAGGCTGAGGCGGAAGGATCGCCTGAGTCAAGTAGGTCGACACTGACTACAAGTGTGCTACTGCATTCCAGCCTGGGTGACAGAGTAAGACTCTGACTCAAAAAATAAATAAATAAATAAAACAAAACCCAACTACATTAAATTTTCATGTGGAATAAATTAATCTTGAGAATTACCTGGAAGTTGAGATCCTATTAAATGTTCCACAAGCCAGGCGCGGTGGCTCATGCCTATAATCCCAGCACTTTGGGAGGAGGAGGCAAGAGGACTGCCTGAGCCCAGGGGTTCGAGACCAGCCAGGCAACTTGGCGAGACCTCGTCTCTACAATAAATCAATAAATTAGGCTGGGTGCAGTAGCTCACGCCTATAATCCCAGCACTTTGGGAAGCCGAGGTGAGAGGAATGTCTAAGCCCACGAGTTCGAGACCAGTCTGGGCAATTTGGCGAGACCTCATCTCTACAATAAAAAAAATTTTTAAAAAATTAGCCAGGCATGGTGGCGCCTGCCTGTGGTTCTAGCTACTTGGAAGGCTGAGGTGAAAGAATCACCTGAGTCCAGGAGGTTGAGACTGCAGTGACTGTGAGCAAGCTACTGCACTCCAGCCTGAGCGACAGAGTGAGAAACCAGCTCAAAAAAATAAATAATAATTAGCTGGAAGTAGTGGTGCATGTCTGTGGTTCCAGCTACTTGGAAGGCTGAGGCAGACAGATCACCTGAGCCCAGTAAGTTGAGGCTGCGGTAGCCACGAGCATGCCACTGTACTCCAGTCTGGGCAACAAAGTGAAACTCCTACTCAAAAAAGAAAAAAAAAAGTTCCACAAAATGCTTATGGTATGACTTACTCCACTGAAACTTCTTTTAATACTCCTAATTCATTTGAAAAACAGTACTCTGAAGGACTATTCTTCCATATAGTTTCTTGTTACTGTTGTTTTAAAATTATATATGTATTCTGACTTTGGCAAACTTCTTTTTTTTTTGAGTTGGAGTCTCACTCTGTTGCCCAGCCTGGAGTGCAGTAGCACACTCATGGCCACCCCACAACTGGAATCCTACATTCTCGACCTGCTGGGCTCCGGCGATCCTTCCATCTCAGCCTTCCAAGTAGCCACAACTACCAGCGCGTGCTACCACACCCAGCTTACTTTTGATTTATTGTACAGCCAAGATCTCGCCAAGTTGCCTGGGCTAGTTTCAAACCCGCGGGCTCAGGCAGTCCACCTGCCTCAGCCTCCCAAAGTGCTGGGATTACAGGCTGAGTCACCGAGCCTGGCCAGCAAACTTCTTTTTGAAAATGAAAAACCAAGGCCAGGTGAGGTGGCTCAAGCCTATAATTCCAGCACTTTGGGAGACCGAGTTGAGAGGACTGCCTGAGTCCAGGGGTTTGAGACCAGCCTGGGCAACCTGGCAAGACCTCATCTCTACAATAAATCAAAAAAATTAGGTGGTTGTGGTGGTGTGCGCCTGTAGTTCCAGCTACTTGGAAGGTTAAGGCAGAAGGATCGCCTGAGCCCAGCAGGTTGAGGCTGCGGTGGTCATGAGCATGCCACTGCACTCTAGCCTAGGCAACAGAGTGAAACTTCAACTCAAAAAAAAAAAAAAGAAAGAAAAGAAAATGAAAAGCTACCTAATATAATTTAAAACAAACAAACAAAGGTATAAACTGTGTTGAAATTATGTTTTAACAATGACAAAAAAAATTAAGAACACTGTAAGGCTAAGAAGTTAATGTGTAGTATAGCAATGTCTACTAGACAGGTGATATTAAGATATAAGCTCACTTTAACAGTACCAAGCTGGGCATGATGGCTCACTCCTGTAATCCCAGCACTTTGGGAGGTTGAGGCGAGAGGAATGCCTGAGCCCACGGGTTCAAGACCAGCCTGGGCAACTTGGTGAGACCTTGTCTCTACAATCAATCAAAAAATTAGCCAGGCATGTGCCTGTAATCCCAGCTACTTGGGAGGCTGAGGCAGAAGGATCACCTGAGCCCAGGAGGTGGAGGCTGCAGTGGCTGCAAGCATGCCACTATACTCCAGCCTGGGCAACAGAGTGAGACTCCGACTCAAAAAAAAAAAGAAAAGAAAAGAAAGTAGTATGTAACCAGAGGAAGAGATGAGGCTGGGATTTTGGAAATTACAATTTCACTTTCACAGTCATAAAATTCCCAACAGGAAAAATTTGTACATTCTAGGAAAAGCTAAAGACGAACTTAAAAGTTGCTACAGGACAGGCACGCCTAGAATCCAAGCACTTTGGGAGGCCAAGGTGGGGGGAATCGTTAGAGCCCAGGAGTTCAAGACGAGCCTGGGCAATACAGTGAGACCTCGTCTCTACAAAAAATAAAAATAAAAAATCAGCTGGGTATAGTGGTACACACTTGTAGTCCCAGCTACTCAGGAGGCAGAGATGGGAGGGTCGCTTGAGCCCAGAAGGCTATGGCTACAGTGAGCCAGGATCATGCCACTGCACTCTAGCCTGGGCAACAGAGTGAGATCCTATCTCAAAAAAAATAAAAGTTGTTGCAATGTTTTAAACCAGCTACAAAGCAAAGTTCCCACTATATCATGGAACAAGTCCTTGGATTAACTAATTTCTTCTTTCATCATTAGTATCCAACATGGCTTATTACAAATTTTATTACTGGTGGAAAAAAAAAAAATATTCATTCCACCATAACTGATTAAAGACAGGATTTGACTTACAAAAAGACGATTTGTGGTCAACTCTGACAAACAATATAGGAATACCTAAAGCAGAAATACAACATGTTCATCACAAATCAATCATATACTTACTCTGTTACTATGGTCACTGACTTTGATGATTGGTTCATTTTTTCTGAGATCCCATACAGTGGCTCGGCCACTAGGACTTGCTGATGCTAAAATATGCTGCACTTGTCTGTTCCATGCAATACAGCTGATATCTTCTGGGGGCTGTAAAAAAAGACTATTAAAAACCATTCCTCGCTGGGCTCGGTGACTCAGCCTGTAATCCCGCGCCTTTGGGAGGCTGAGGTGAGTGGATTGCCTGAGCCCGCGGGTTCGAGACCCGCCTGGGCAGCGAGACCTCATCTTTACAATAAATCAAAAAATCAGCTGGGCGTGGTAGCACATGCCTGTAATTCCGGCTACTTGGAAGGCTGAGGCGGAAGGATCGCTGGAGCCCAGCAGGTCGAGGCTGCGGTGGCCGGGAGCGGCCACTGCACTCCAGTCTGGGCGACAGAGTGAGACTCCAACTCAAAAAAAAAAACAAACCAAAAACCATTTCTCGCCAGGTACAGTGGCTTATACTTGTAATCCCAGCACTTTGGGAGGCTGCGGTGAGAGAATTACCTGAGCCCAGGGGTTCAAGACCATCCTGGGCAACTTGACCAGACCTCGTCTCTACAGCAAATTAAAAAAAAAAAAATTAGCCAGGCTTGGTGGTGCATGCCTGTAGTTCCAGCTACTTCGAAGGCTGAGATAGAAGGTGGAAGGATCACCTAAGCCCAGCTGGTTGGGGCTGTGGTGGCCATGAGCGTGCCGTTGCACCCCAGCCTGGGCGACAGAGTGAGACTCTGACTAAAAAACAAAACAAAACACAATCACTTCTCTATTGTAATCAAATTTAACTGCAAAATCAGATCCTTCCCTTTTTAAATGAATTAAAAATCTAACCCCTTTATTCCACAAATTTTCCTTATATATTAAGTTCCCTATATATGAACGAGTACCATTCCAAGAGCATGTCCTTAAGTCCAATTTGTTCATAAGTTCAACAAAGTTGCCCTAGGTACCAAACTAATGCAACTGGCTATATAGTACTAGCCATAACAACCCACTGCTTTTACACTTGCTTCCTGGACTTGAAATAAAGACATTGTACTACTGTTCTCCATACAGTACTGTACAATAAAGTATAGAAAAGCACAACCACTTATAGAGGATGCACATACATGACAATATACATCAGACACGTGAGCTAACTTATGTGACTGAACATGCAAATGCACATTTGTGTCTTTGAAAGATTGCAACTTAAAGGTTTGTATGTAGGGAACTAACTGAAATCCTACATTCTCAACACGTATAGCAATACTGTTTAAAGTACAGGTGTATGTCATTTCAAGTATTTTATCTTGCTTAGTATTGTCTAATTCAACAAGCATTTACTGAGCTACTGCCATAAATCATGTACTATTACTTTACTTTGCAACTGCTTGCAAGGTAGATCATGGGCCACAAAGTAGATGTTGGAGAACATGACAGAAAAGTAGACAAAGCAAAAGTTATGTGTCGGGAGCCAGCCTCAGAGGCCTTCACGTTGACAGGGTCCGGAAGGCCGAAGACCCTAGGTTGCAGGGCAACTCTGGGCAGCTATCGGCCCTTCTTCTATCTCCACTCTCGATCTCGCCACTGGAAACCTAGGAGTTGGAAGATGTAAAAAGCTCTATATGGAAAAAATAATTTTTACCAAAGAGTAGTGTTTAGTAAAAGAAGGATTTGTTTTGTTAAAAGTATACTCTTGATTAGGGTACCCTTGGCTTTACTTCCCTTTGTTAAGGAGGTTTGTACTTCTGGTTAGGGATTGTGACTAAGGTGACTTGAGCCCTAGAGGCCGTTTGTTTTACAAACGTTGAAGCTCATTCTCCCTGACAGGGGATAATTGACACAGATTGTAAACACCAGGTGTAACATTGTGGAAAACTAGTCAGGCCAACTTGTGGTTAAAAAACCTTGAGAATGCTGTTT